TGTGTGTGTGTGGGAGAGAGTGTGTGTGTGTGAGGCCGTCCACAGTGGTACCGAACGTGGCCATCAGCCTCTGCTCGACGACTCTGCATTTTTGTGTATCCCGAAGTCTGCCTTCGAGGACTTTTTCCCGAAGAACCGAGGCCAAATGCTGTTGACCACTGAAGTGTTATCTGCTGGGAGGGAACCCCCCTGTCTGGTGATAGTTGCGTGGTGTCAATTCATCCATTGTCGTCGCATCTGCATGGTTTCGCCAATATACCATGCCCCTTGCCTGCACCGTATGGCCAAGTCACATGAGTATTTGCCATGCACATGGTGGTGGTGTTCCCATATGTGATGGTAGTATCCATGTCAATGATCTGACAGGATTGCAGAGCTAGCCATGGCAGGATTGTGTGATGTTGTGCTTGATGTTGTCCTGAAGGCTGGGTAGTTTGCTGCGAACAATGGCCTGTTTAAGGTTGTTGGTTGCTTGAAGGCGAGAAGTGGGGGTGTAGGGAAGATCTTGGCAAGGTGCTCTTCATCATCGATAATGTGTTGAAGGCTGTGAAGGACATGGCATAGTTTCTCCTCTCCGGTGAAGGACTGGACGACAAAGGGTACTGTATCGGTCATATCCCGTGTCTGTCTTCTGAGGAGGTCAAGTTCGGTACCCATGAGGGTGGCCCCAACTGTGATCTTGGGTTCATGTCGCACTGCAGGTGACCCCACCGCACTATACACTGTCACACACGCACGCAAACAGACTCACACATACACGCACACAGACCCTCTCTCACACACATGCACACTCTCACACTCATACGCACACGCATACACACATGCATACACAAATACTGTCTCACTCACTCTCACACTCTCAAACACAAGAAATTGAGTGTCTTGATGCCTCTCACTACACTTGATGAAGGAGAAACATTCTGAAAGCTAGTGTTTTCAAACAAACCTGTTGGACTGTAACCTGACATCATGTGATTATCAGTTAGGTGTGGTTGGGCTATCCCTTTTCTCCAGCAACCAATTTAAACACCCCAAGGGCTTTTGAAAGTGGTCAGTACTTCAGAGTGGTCCAGGATTAATAGACATGACAGCTCCCTGGATATCTAACTCAGACTTGCAGTATTTGGCTGCTGTGATCACAACTGATTTAATTTTTCAATGGAGTGGAAGTCTTTCTTGTCAACAAAGGCACTGGTTCATGATCAGCTACTCTGATAACCATTTGGAGGGATTGTCTTATGAGCCAAGGGTGAACAGATTGGGACTTTACTCACTGGAGTTCAGAAGAATGAAAGCTAATCTCCTTGAAGCATAAAACTTCATAACAGGCTTGATAGGGTACGTGCTGAGAGGATGTTTCCCATGATGGGAAAGTATAGGACCAGAGGGCATTATTTATGAATAAAGGGACACCAAATTACGACTGAGATAAGGTGGAATTTCTTCCCTCAGAGGGTGAGACACTGTGGAATGCCTTGCCGCAGAGATCTGTGGGGGTAGAATCATAGAATCCCTACAGTATGGAAACAGGCAATTCGGCCCAACAAGTCTACACCAATCCTCCAAAGATCATGTCACCCAGACCAATCCCCCCCCTCAGCTATCCCTGTAACCCTGCATTTCCCATGGCTAATCCACCTAACCTAGGCATCCCTGAACACTATGGGCAATTTAGCATGGCTAATCCACCTAACTTGCACATCATTGGACTGTGGGAGGAAATCAGAGCACCCGGCAGAAACCCATGCAAACACGGGAAGAACATGCAAACTCCACACAGAGGGTCACTCAAGGGTGGAATCAAATCCAGGTCCCTGGTGGTGTGAGGCAGCAATGCTAATCACTGAGTCACTATGCTGCCCAAGCCCTTGTGTACATTGTAGGCTGAGATAGATGTGCAGACAGCTAGATTCTAATCAGGAGAGTAATCTAGAGTTACAAGAAAAGGGAAGGAAAATAGATGTGAGGAATGCAAATTAATCATGATCCTATTGAATGGCCGAGGAGGCTTGAGGGGCCAAATGACCTACTCCTGTTCCTATTTCTTATGGTCTTGTGTGCCTGTGAACACGTGACAGATTCTGTCATCATCATATAAAAGATGTGCATAGCGTTCATCAGTTGGCCATCTCAAGTTCTGTTTCTTCCCCGGACCTCATTATTACCCTCAGTGTTGAGTAATCTGCAGTGACTTGATCTTTAAGTCCAACTTGTGGGTATGAGGTTCTTTCACAGCTGAGCTGATCTCTACTCACCCAGTTTTCTGATTGAAAGAAAGAGACGTTCCTGAACCAGTGGAAATCCGCCGATGGCTGAGAAACCTCTTTACAATGAGAGAGATGAATAGATGGGCTGTTCCAAAGAGAGCCTCAGTGGCCTCCCAGATACATTTATGAATTGAGGACTGTGAAATGTCACAGAAATCCACAGTAATTCCACAAAATGATTCACTGGCAAAGAAATTCAGCACAGTTGTTAATTTTAATACTACCAAGATGTGATTCCCATCCAGTCCAAGTCTGAAGCCTCAAGTCTTTACCCACCAAAGCTGGCAGAAGTATGAAACAGTGCTCAAGACATCCTGAGTCATCATCAACAATAGCTGCAGATAGCTGCAACTAAGCCTTACACAAGGGCTTTCCTTTGATGTAGTGACTCTTGTTCTGCTAATCCTCTTCTGGAGGCTGTGCAGTAACCATTGACAGCTGCCACTGTTGTTGCTGCTGTTATTGTTGTCTTAACAGTTTTCAGAGTCACAAAAAGATCAGGGTTTATCTATGCCATAGTCCTTTCACTTTCTGGAGATCCATGTGAACAGGACGTAAAT